GATAACTGCCAAAGTACAGAGCCGCAACAAAATCCTCAAGTCCTTGCCGGCACTCTTGGGAAAAACAAAGAAACGTTGTTGGCAACGTATACCACCCATAGCAGACACAGAGCTCGAGTTGCCTCGCGAAACCAGAGTGACCCTCGTGCAACTTCGTTCTGGATATTGTAGCAGGTTAAAACACACATGTCCTGCGTGCAATGAGTATCCGCATGACACTAACCACCTCTTTGCATGCCCAACAAACCCCACCCATCTAACACCCTCCTCCCTATGGTCCGACCCCGTCAAAACAGCTCGTTTCCTGGGCCTCCCGTTAGATGACCTCGACGACAACGAATCTGGAATTTATCACCCAAACGGGGACTAGGTAACCGTTACAACAACAACAACAGCGCGGTGAGCTTTTCACGGATGGATCAAGGCTAGGAGGAAGGTTGAGGGGGTTTTCTGCAAGACCTCTCCGTCAATCCTAGCTTCAGGCTACCGGACCACTGTAGTGTTTTCAGGCGGAAGTGGCTGCTATCAAGGTTGCGGTAGAAGTACTGGTGCGTAGTCCAGACTCGTTTGTAGAAGTGAGCGTCCATTCCGATAGTAGGCGGCAATACTAGATTTGAGTGCGCGAACCGTGCAATCAAAGCTAGTCAAGGAGTGTCTGTCCCCACTAGAGATAGCATCTGGCTATTTCAACATCAGGCTCGTTTGGGTGCCTGGTCACAGCGAAAACGCTGGTAACTGCAAAGCAGAGGAATGGGATCGAGTTGGTTGTCCGCTAACGTCTTGCATTCTGGCTCTGGACCAATGGACCTCGCATGCGCTCAGCAGACGCTGGTCAACGACCAACTCCTGTGCAACCGCGAGATCCTTCCGGAAAAATGGGCGCAGGAGGTCGGGGAACTTCTCACCCTGAGCAAAGTGCATCTCGCCGCTATGGTAGGAGTTCTCACTGAACACTGTCCAATGGGCGCTCATGCGGTGGCTTAGAGTACTACCCGATGCTAGTTGCCAAAGCTGTATGGGGAGGGCGAGTGGAAATATCCCGGCACTTTCTCCTCCAATGTCCGGCTTTCGCTAGGCTGAGATTGAAATATCTCGGCAATCACACTTTGGCGGACCTTAATACTTAGCCGAAATGGACATTGGCCGCCTTAACAAGTTTGTTGCAAGCACAAAGCTGTTCGTCGACTTATAAGGGTATTTTATCCAGACTATAGGAGTTTGTAGGGATCACAACGGACCGGCGTCTTAAGCTGTCCAAGTGGGGTCCTTCTTGGATCGACCTCCTAACCTAACCTAACCTAACCTAACGCTTTACTATTTATTAACCGAGCTTACAACTTCTTGCTTATATCTTAACTGCTCTTAACACGACAACACTCTAACTAGAACTGTGTTGCTGTTCTGTCCAGCCTGTGTCTGCTGTACCGGCAGCCCTTATATAGTAGGTCTTTAACAAAACTTCGCCCTAAACATTCTGACAACTACGAATTCGCTGCCTAGTTGATTCTGGCAATTTATCGTCCATTAGATTACTGCCTTCCACCTAAGTCTGATCGTCCCGATTACACATATTTGAGGTATAAAACACAAAGACTTTATGTCTCTCATCTCGTCTTCTAGGATGGTGTTAACTTCCTCAGCCATCCTTATATTACTGGAGGTAATTCCATCGAGCGTGACTCGAGGAACACCGAATCTCGTTACCTACTTGTTGATAATGCGTCCGCTACTGGCTCAGCCTCTTGATTAGGAATTGTGTATACTTGTGGTCATTCGTTGAAATGGTCCTTGACTACCAAAACATAAAATATGTCCTTATGTGAAAACGTTGGCCATAAAGTGTGAAAATGTTTGATGCATTTCACCATCGCCAGTAATTCTTTCCGAGTTACAAAATAATTTCTTTCTGGTTTGCTTATTGTCTGGCTGTAATACGCAACCACTTTCTCCTGCCCGTCAATGACTTTTGATAGAACGCTTCCTACTGAATACCCACTAGCATTCGTATACAAAATAAACGGTGATCATGGGATCAGGTATGCTAACATTGGCGCTGTTGTGTTTGAAGGATTTATATTAATAAACGGTACCACATGAAATAAAATTATTAAGTCGTTTATTTATTAAGATATGTCATTGACTCACAACTTAGCCGTCAGGTTACTTGTTATTATTATTTTGAGGAAGTGGTACCGGTACCAAAGGCTGATCAAAGTGATCACTATTCTCGCGAACAGTATCAACATTAATCGAATTGTTTTTATTTTTATCTGATTTTTTATATTGTATTTCTATATCATTTTCACACGATTTATCATCAAAGTGATGACCCACAGACAATTGTTTTCTGTTACGCGTTATGTTTGTCCCTTCTGTTCGATCTATTTTTTGTATGTCCAGTATGCACTGCTACTACTTCATCTGAATATGCTCCTAAGCTTTCGGCATAGGTGCTCTTTGAAATTGTTTTTCTAGGCTTATTTTCATATAGGAATGATTGCTTTTGATTTGTATTAAATGCACTTTGCGGTAAGTCGGGTTCGATATGAACTGCTTGAGTGGAATGTGTGTGTACTTTTTCCGCTGAACCATTCTCTATGCTATCGAAGTTTCTCCGAAAATTGTAATTACCTGTTGATAATATGCAACTTAAATGATATTCCGTGGTCTTAAATTATATTGTTACCTGTAGGTCCAAATGCACTTTTAATGGCATTTCGACTTTTTGTGTTCTTTCTTCGTAGGCTATTTCGAAGTAATGGTGAGCGCAACTTCTTACTATTACCTCCAAAGCGTTTCGTATTTTTGGTTTCTTTAAAATTGCCATAATGAACGGACAATATTGGCGAGCGAGTACTGTCATCCGAACTTCTATTATCTAGATTTTCTTGCATTGTTTCGGATTCATTCATATCAACAGAATTCATATTTCCTATATTGCTTTCCGTATCTGAAAAATCGAGTTTGTCTGCTAAATGGTCAGATTCAAACTGTTCATCTTGGTCAATAATTTCAATCTAAAAGTAAAAATTGTTTTTTAATTTAGCCTTTTTATTTTTCTAAGTTTACAAACCTCTTCTGTAACCGCTCCTCGAAGCATTATTGCTGGCCCTCCTCCATAAATACCATAGAAGAAACGCCACAGAAGAGCATTCACCTGGGCATAGTCCGAGCCTGGACGCACTTGTCGAATTGGTAACGACTGAACAGCATCTGTTAGGGCAATATTAGCATTAGAAATGGGTCCCGGTTCCTTATAAGTAATCCCGCGAGCAAATTGTTGCCATTTTCGCAGCCAAGGCATTGATATGGCATATATAGCGCCACAATCATGTTCGGTATCCATACCAGTGAATTTCGTAAATACACATAATTCATAAATTTGGCGTCGTTTCAGAGATTCAGCTGCTCGTTTGCAAATTTCACATTCAAACAACATATTTATAGCAGGCCCACCACCAAATGTAGAATATAGAAAATCCCACAATTGCTGAGATAAAGGTACCGCAATCTGATCCAACAAAGCCATTTTAGACTCTAAAAGGCCACCGTGTAAACACAGTATTGTCCAATTATTGATTGGTCCAGGTTCCGCAAATGTACTAAATCTTGAGAGCCATTCACGTGCAACATAAAATCGAATTTCTGCGGTGTGAACTGGATTCAATGCAGAAATTTCACTTGCCTTTGCTCTAATTAAATCCATTTGAGGATTATGTTTCCGATAAAATAGAACATATGCTTGACAGTTCTGAACAGTGCTGGCTTGTACTTCTATGACATGCTGATCATCATATTGATACCAACGATCTGTAACAGGATTACGGGCAAAACATGTATAATGACCACCCCCTACGGTACCATGATGACAAATCACAGAAACCACATTGTACACTGTTACTACTGATTTACAATCTTTATGTAAATATGGTTTCATATCAAAACCTTCAAGAGGAAAATGAACTGGTGACGATATTTTCGAACTATAGGACAAATCATGACGGAACCGCTTCAAGTGAATGCACAACACCTCCGGAAGCTCCAAAATTTGTGAATATTTAATCCCAGTTCTTAATTTATTGCACTTTTCACAACTGTGTAATAATAATTTTTGTCGTTAAAAAATATTACAAGTAAATATTACCGGAAATAAATACCTATACATATTGTCTCCTTTGAGTTCGTCTGCACTAAAAAAACTTGACATACAGTCATATAACGTTACAGAAGGACCCCACAGCCATGATCGAAAAACTTTCCAGAACCAAGTGAACCATCCGTCTGTGTTATTAGGTGCCAAAGTGTCAATTGAATTAAGACTTTGAGCGCTTAAGCTATGGGTTTGATGGAGCATGTTCAAATAGTCTCGATTCGGAATAGGTAACGAAAGATCTTGAAACGTTTCTTCGCGTGTGGAAACCCGATCACAAGTGAGGCATTGTACTGATGAGAGTAATTTTCCATCAAATACGTCACTTATAATTGAATGAACTTCTGCTTGAGGCTGCGATGAACTGTTGTGCGCTTTACGTGTTCTTCGATTACGATCTGCGCTACTTGTGTTTAACTGTCCTTTGACTTGATTAGAATGCTGGGAAAGGCTGCTATCACACGTTTCATACTCAGAATCTGACAAGGAGCTTGACTGAGACACAGAATCTGAATCTACTGGTCCTTCTGAGCTGTTCATCTCTATCATTGGAGTTTTGGTACAGGACATTATTGGCAAAACAGGGCTATTTTCTTTTAATTCTTCATGTAATTGGTCCATAAAACAACGCAAAAACTCTTGGGTATCATGCTGCTGAAAGCCACGAAACATTGGATGAACACTTCGAATTCCATATAATATTCCACGAGGTGCAATGTAATCTACATTTCAACTATATTGCATTAATAAACAAGTTCAAAAAATTGTGGTATATTTACCTTTTCCAATACCCTTTCTGCTCCATATGTCATGAATTAACCGCTGATAACTTTTAGCAAGTCCAACTTTATTCCGATTTGAACTTTGCTCAACAATGTGTTCAACCAAATCACTGCAGTTGAGGAAGTAATGTGTCATGGGTTGTACGTTACTGAGCGCTTGTAGCGCTGAGTTCATGTAACAGGTATTAGCGATGTTTTGCAACCCGACCAATCCGGTTGAGGATGCCGACATTTCCTTGTTATTTTCGTCACTTTCATTTCCATCACTGTTATCTTTTTCATATTTTTGCGAGGCGACTGTTGACCTCATTGCTGTAATAAATGGGTCCTCTATCAATGTTGGCTTCACGTCAATAAACACCTCTCGTTCACATAAATAGCACCATAAACGTTGTGATGACATATTCATGTGTAGGCAATGGCAGTTATCTAGCTGAAAATGTTCAGTGCTGTGATCATTGGCTTGTTCAGAGCATCCCACACGTAAGCAATTCCTCTGAAGACAGATCCATAGATTCGGTCCGGAATAATCACACTCCGCACATGACTTTACCTACTCCAAAAAACAAATATTTTGGTCCGTTAGTAGATAGAATGACATTACGAAAAGCAGCTAATACTTGGGTACCTTTTCAAGCTTTTTAATCTCCAGCACGTGCTCATTGCCAATGTGTGGACACATTTTATACCTTTTCTGTGCCATTACAAAAATCAGTTGCCAATTCCCACACAAGACATGAAATTAAAGCACAATTCCTGCTTAATTTCGCAAATCTTCCTGCAATCAAGTGATACTCTAAACATCACGAAGTTACCACATTTTAAAACATTGTTATTATTACCAGACCATGAAAAAATAATATTTCGGTTACACATTTCAATGTTACATAGCGAAGACTTTTATATATAAAATTATTTAAGTATATACCGAAATTTAATCAATTAAATTAAAATTTGGTAAATGTTTAGTTTAGGTCCCCCAACGAAAGAGGCCCCGAAAATAATTTTTTTTTAAATCATCTTATTTTGCCGCGAGGATTACAAATCCGTAAGCAGGAAGTCAATTTTTTCAATAATTCCATTTTTTTTAACTTTTAATATAAATAAATTATTACAAAAAATTCAAAAAATTACACACTTTGTACATTTTCTTTCGCGTGGTAATTCCTTTCTGCACTGGAGGCCTGTTTTTTGCAATTTATGTTAAATATATATAATATTTAAATTAAAGTATATTCACGTTAAAGTTAAGTTTTTGAACGTGAAATTATGATATATCTACACAGTGGAGACTTCACACAATAATTCTGATGGTGTGGCAGCATTTCAAGAAAATGCATTTGCTACAGCCAGAGCCCATCGCATACAGATATTGGATCAAAAGAAGAATTGATGAAATATTTCTATAAGTGATTTAATAAATTAACTTTACACAAGTGTGCATGGAGATTGTGAGTTTAGTTATTAAAAGGACGTAGAGAATTTAATTCCATTAAAATGTGTTTAATTTGATCGAAACCGAACAAGTATATTGATGTTTCCACTTCTCTAAAACGGAATGAGGCAGATTCTCTGGGGGAAAATCTCCAAAGATATATTTGATTAGAACAAACGTCAAATATATAAAGGATATCTTCTAAGTTATGACTAAAATTTCTATATAATCCAAATGAAAATACGTTTTTAATCGGAGCAGAGTTTATCCGAATTTACTGTGCCTATTAAAAACACCAATAGCACCAAAGCTTATTGGTGGATTCGGGCATGCACTCTGACGAGAATATGGCTTTCGGTGCATCGGCGACACAAATTCAATCTATATCCAGTTGTAGCGGTGGTTCTTACGATGGAAAAATAGCTGGATTATATGATTTAGAAGAAACTCTAGGCTCCGGACATTTTGCTGTAGTGAAACTGGCCCGACATGTATTTACTGGTGCTAAGGTTGCCGTGAAAGTAGTAGATAAAACTAAATTAGATGAAATATCCAAAGCCCATTTATTTCAAGAAGTAAGGTAATATATACGAAAAACAACAGAAAGTAACCTATAGCACTCGTCAAATAATAAAATATTTATTTTGTTGAATTTTGTTTAGATGTATGAAGTTGGTACAACATCCGAATGTGGTGCGTCTCTATGAGGTCATTGACACGCCAACTAAACTCTATTTAGTTTTGGAGTTGGGCGATGGTGGTGACCTATATGATTATATAATGAAACATGAGGGCGGTCTTAGCGAAGAATTCGCTAAAAAATATTTTAAACAAATTTTACGAGCTATCACTTATTGTCATCAGTTGCATGTTGTTCACAGGTGAGTGAATGATTTTGTATGTATGTTTTAGATGTTTAAAAATGTATAATAATATAATATAATATATATTCCATACATACGGAATACATATTTTAGCGCTATAACTGCGTACCCGATTTTTCTTTTGCTTTCCGGGTGCTATCTTGACGGATATAATTCGTTCTTCAGGTGTTTGGGCCTGAATAGCTTGTATTAATAAACCATTCTGTGCATAGACATATACATTTAGCTATATGTATTATTAGTGTATATGTACTATATGTAGTAATTAATATACAGTAAATTTCTTAATAAAATTTTTTTTTATATATTACATTTACAGAGACCTGAAGCCAGAAAACGTTGTATTTTTTGAAAAAATTGGTGTCGTTAAATTAACAGATTTTGGATTTAGCAACAAATTTTCTCCTGGCCAAAAGTTAGAAACATTTTGTGGCAGTTTGGCGTATTCTGCTCCAGAAATTCTTTTGGGTGACTCTTATGATGCGCCAGCTGTTGGTAAGCATTAAAATATTGTAATATAAAAATTTGTAAATTAAAAATTCCCAAATTTCTTACAGATATATGGTCACTGGGAGTAATACTTTATATGCTTGTTTGTGGTCAGCCACCTTTTGAAAAAGCCAATGATTCAGAGACTTTAACGATGATTATGGACTGTAAGTATACGGTCCCACCACAGGTGTCCCAACATTGTAAGCAGTTAATTAGTTCAATGTTGGTTCGTGACCCAAAAAAACGTGCTACCCTTGAACAGATTGCAGCACATTCTTGGTTAAGTGAAATATCTGATTTTAATGCGACGGATAGTTTGCCATTGATAAGTAGGCAAGAACTTAGTGATGAAGACCACGCTTTCATAATACAAAAAATGATTAACGGAAATATAGCTCCTAAAGAGGAAATTTTGCAGTGAGTATTTATCGTCATTCATACTATTCTACTTAAATAATCAAAAAATGTATAGGGCGCTGGATAAAAATCAATATAATCACATCACAGCAACATATTTCCTCTTGGCAGAATTGAGGCTACGTAAACGTCGCGAAGAGCTATTACCAAAAAAGCTAACGTCTCTCCTTTTACCAGATGTTGTTACGGCGAAGTACGTTGAATAAATTAATTATTGTATCGACGTATATACTCATTTCAAAATTTTTAGGGCAAACGTTACAGATTTGAAGCGTGAAAAACAACCAGACATCAAACTAAATTCTTTGGACTCAAATAAAATTATAATGCCGATAAATATGGTGACGCGACCTGCAGCGGAAACTAAAACCGTTAGTTTACTAAATATGCTTTTGTAAACTAAAAACTTATAAAATTTACGTGTTTTTTTCTGTAAATTCAGGATAAAAGAAGTAGAAAGTGCAGCATTGTCCGAGAAGAGGACGAAGACGAATCTGGCTACGAAAATACAAATGATGGTAACGAATTACGTGTGGCTATTACCCGACGAGAATCAATATCTGATGGCCGTTTGAATTGCGTGGTTCAAGAACGGACTAAGTCCAATTCTATGATTCAAGTAGATGATCGCCCAAAAATGACCGAATCAGTAGATGCTACTTTAGTACATAAGCTTAACCAAATAGAAAATCATGTCGCATGTGATACAGGTGTGAAGAAGGACTCATCAAATTTTAGAACAGCTAAACCACCAATAATGGAAGATGCTTTAAGAGGAATAAAAGACCTCGAAATAGGCAAATTAAATTCCTTATCTATGAGTAACAAAAACCCAGTACTAACACATCGTCGTAGCAAGCTAAGCAAAATTCGAACACCCTCATGCAGTAGCTCCGAAGCATCGGACGATGATACTAAAGCACGTAGTAAGAAAAAGATAAATAAATTCGTTGGTGATACTCCAACAAGATTTCGCATGCACCGACGTGATTCCCACGATGATTCAAGTGATTCACAAGATCAATCGTGCCCTCCCTCTGGGTCCCAAATACCATCAACTCAAATGGTTACCGGCAGTAATACAAACGTAAGCGGAAAAAAGGATAATCAAAAATCTAGCAAAGAGGTAAAAAAAAAATGTCTGAAAAGCGAACTACATATGTATACAATTTTGTTTCCTTATTATATTTCGTTAACTAATAATATTAATTACTTTTTTTAATTTAGCATAATAAAACCGATGAGAAGCGAAAAGACTCGCACACTGAACGACAAAAGAAAACTCCAAAAGACCAGAAAAATAAAAATAACTGTTCTCTTGACAGCTCAAATTCAGAATTATTTATGATCGGAACAGGGCGGCGTCGAGTTCGGGAGAGCCAATCACTGGATCGTATAACCGAGGCACAGGAATACGAATTTCGTCAAAAATGTCTTACATCTGACATTCAAATCGATATTAGGAATTCTCTTTTTAACGTTAACTCATGCACTGTTGCAGAAACTAAGGAAGAGTATCAAGATGATATCATTTCCATTGATTCAGAAAGAATTACGAGCAATTCCATTTTCCTCGAAAAAAATTCAATGCACATACGTGAAAGCATTTGTAAATTGAATTCAATAGAAGATATTATTCTCGAAGATAGTAAGATATCAAAAGCAATTCAACTTACTGGCTCAAAATGCTTTGTTACTATGAAAAAAATTCGTAAGCTAGGTAAATATTTTCCTGTAGTAAATTTTTCTTAATACGGCAGGTGTCAAATGAAGCAACCAATCATACAGAGGCAGCATTATTGAAAAATATAACTAGATATTTTAATTAAATTAATTTAAACTTAAAAGTATAATCTAATATTCAATGCAATATTCTATTATTAGTAATTATAAATAAATCGCAACAAAGTCACATGCATTACGCACGTTCTGAACGTAATAAATGTTTATGTGTGTTTTTTGAATTCAGTGAAAAATGTGCAGGGTACCAAACAGCATAAATAAGACAAATATACTTGTATATGTACATATGTATGTGCAGTAGGTAGAAAAAGTAAGTTATCAAAGCGTTTTTTTTTTAATGCTCTGGGCTTTTTTGCTTTATAGACTGCACAGTTATAAAACGTGGAGAAAGTAAGTTATCAAGTGTTATAAACGGTGTTTTTGTATTAAACTTGATAATAAATAGCAAAAATTCATTCAAGGTACTAGAAATTTAATTTTTTGAAATATGGATGTGACTTTTCAACAGTGAATCCAAAAAAATTACCTAAAATGGTAAAGCTTAAGCAATTAACGAATGGGGAGCGTTCAGCCATAATCAGTTTGCATAAAGATGGGCACACGCAGCGATATATTGGCGAAAAGTTTAATAAAACAAAGAAAATCGGGTCATAAAAAAAAAGACAAAAAGAATTTTGGATATCTCCAACTCCGATCCTTTAAAATCGGTTCCTAAAATTCGCGCTCAGCTTATAAAAGAAGACAAGAAGGCCCCTCAGTGCACACTGTCCGTAACAGATTGCGCCAAGCCAATATTCAAGAAAGCCGCGTTCCAAGAACTTTGACTTCCGAATAAATTATCAGAAGA